TGACGGTACATATCTCTGTATGACGGTTCAATGTCTCCAGGACCAGTGACAGTACATATCTCTGTATGACGGTTCAATGTCTCCATGACCAGTGACGGTACATATCTGTGTATGACGGTTCAATGTCTCCAGGACCAGTGACGGTACATATCTGTGTATGACGGTTCATTGTCTCCAGGACCAGTGACGGTACATATCTCTGTATGACGGTTCAATGTCTCCAGGACCATATCTCTGCAAACATCAGATTTAGTGGAATCATATATTTTATAATGTTTTATTAAAATAATCATTTTTGTCACAATATTGATTAATCTGAATATCATTTTAGTTGCTTTAATCAACTGCATTATAGTCAAAAGTAACGACAGCTTTCAGTGACCATACTGTAACTTACTAATAGTCAAAAGTAATGACAGCTGTGAGTGACCATACTGTAACTTACTAATAGTCAAAAGTAACAACAGCTGTGAGTTACCATACTGTAACTTACTAATAGTCAAAAGTTACGACAGCTGTGAGTGACCATACTGTGAGTGACCATACTGTAACTTACTAATTGGTTGTTAGTTATGTGTAGAACTGATGTAACTCATCCCATTCAATATGATAATACTTACATCTCTTTCAATGTCAGTCACTTTATGAAACAGTACTGGAGGGATCTTCCTCAAATTTTACATGAAAGTTCCCCCATGGTCCCTAGTTACACATATCAAATTTTGGAACTGATCTGAAAGCCAAGATGGACAACAGGTGGCTATCTTGAATTTTGATAGTAAAAGCTTGTTCACACTTTTTCTTGGAGTAAATTTGCAGGGATATTTTTTTTGCAAGAGCCCCATGATCCTTAGTTATTCATATTTTAATTTTGGAACTGATCAGAAAAGTAAGATAGCCAACATTTTGAGAGTTAAAGATTGTTAGCACTATTTCTCAAGGTTCTACTGTCTCTGACAAAGGTCTGTATCTACAAGGTTTATTTGTACAGTAGAGTTGTTAAGAGTGTTAAGTATAGGAAGATACATTGCTGTGCCTGTCTGTAATTATCTGTCAGACAACATATTGATTCCAACTGTGTGCAGAAAATGTTCCTTACTGATTAACAGACAAAGTGGAAATCAGGTCATGTGGTGCAAAATGATTGAAAAACAATTTACTGGCTGAATTAAACTTCAATATTAATTTTGATGACCTTGGGCAACAAAAAACCATTAACTTTGATGACCTTGGGCAATAGAAAACCCTAATCTTGCCAATCTTTCAAATTCTTCATTGGGAAAAACTGCATTGGGATTTTTTTTTATAACATTTGACAAAATAATAGACTGAATTTAATGCCAAAGCATAGCCTTTCCTTTGTAATGTCATGAAGAAATAAGACTGAAAAGCAAGATGGTGGGAAGTCAAGATTCTTTCTTAATCAGAAAGATTTAGCCTAAATGAAGTGTTCCTCACCATTGACCGCAAGGATATCCTTGACCCATGTCTGGCCGGAGACTGTACAGTGGTTACTATTTGCTTTTTACTATAACCCACAACGCTAATGGACTAATGGTCAGTGGACTGCTTATTGCCCTCAGACTGACCGATGGTTCATGGTCAAGCTTTATGTTAGTATTTTTACACATCAAAAATCATAACAAAATATTGCTGTTTATCCGTTGGTAAGAAGCAGGCCTAACAATGGATGTCTGTGATCAGTAATTATGACACACAATCACAGAGAGCCGTCCTCGCAGCAGACAATTTAGGAGATGAGAATGAAACCACTATTTCTTATTTGCAGAAATGGACGTCAATTTAAAGATCTGTCAGAGAAATGGGACTTCCCGTCAGAAAGAGAGCAGTTTTTTGGAGAGATAGTGAATGCAAAATCCTTGTTCAGTAAACAAGAGAATGGGAAAATGAGAATTGAAAATCTTGTCCAGTAAACAAGAGAATGGGAAAATGATAATTGAAAATCTTGTTCAGTAAACAAGAGAATGGGAAAATGAGAATTGAAAATCTTGTCCAGTAAACAAGAGAATGAGAAAATGAGAATTAAAAATCTTGTCCAGTAAACAAGAGAATGGGAAAATGAGAATTGAAAATCTTGTCCAGTAAACAAGAGAATGGGAAAACGAGAATTAAAAATCTTGTTCAGTGCTGTTACTGACAGTACAACACAGCTGTGGTCATGCAGGTTTTGCTGTTGGAAGATTTGTTAAACATTCCTTCCCATTTATTTGTAACTGAAGCCTAACTTTGACACCACCTGCTAATGTTCCTATCACTCTGACAAGTCTGCCGCGTTGGGAAATTTTACAAAGGGTTGTCAAAAATTCTGTCATTTTCTGCTTGATTGTTAAATTTTATGTAATTGAATTAGATCAGTTGGTAATCCTTATGAAGCTTTTAAATTCTTGACTCAATTTAAAATCCAATTATAGAACCTGAAGTCTGGTATTAACAAAAAATTGTCAAACTAATCTGGTTAATCAATTGAAAGTGAAATGATAATTCTAACATTTTCTTCATCTGTTTTTAAATTTTGATTTGAAAGAATAGAAATCTTTCTATAATTTTCAGCAGATATCATATTTACCACCAATGAAACATAAACAAAACTAGATTTAATGATAAACACCTTATTTTCAGAATTCAGCTACCAGCCAGACTGTGGTTTTGGTACTGGAGAACAAATATACTTGGAAAAAAAATGTAAATAGTATATGTTTTAGTACTCTGAATGTTCTGTACAATATGGAATTTTGATAGAAGAATGCTTGATGAATCAGTGTATTCCAAATAAACATTACAAAAAATGTTTTAAATAGAAAACAATCTGTAGCTACAGATACTTTAATAGGAGCATTCACACTTTATCAGAATAATAATTAAAGTGCTAAAAGTTCTGAAATAAAATTACTGCTAAAATATGTTTACAGTATTCAAGGACCAATTAGCTACTGATTCTGTAAACTTTACTGATCCACTAAGGAA